CCTGCCGCCGAGGCGGGCTGAATCCAGAGCCGGGACGCCAGGCTGTGCCTCGGCGGACGGACGGACAGACAGACGGCCCGGCACAGGGCGCGCTGTCCCTGCACACACCTGACCAGACCCCGCGCCTCCATGGAGGCTCCTCTTTATTTCTTTCACCAACTGTGTTTGCTTTGGAGGGGAAAAAACTTGCCCCCTCGCCGGCCCTTTGCAGCCGGTGGTCCCACCGATTGCTTTTGGAGTTTCCCTCATGGAATGCCCTGCGCTGGGGCGAGACGGAGCCTCGCCGTCCCACGCGCGCCGCTGGGGAGAAGGGGCAGGACCCGCGCGGGGAGGCTGCTGCTGGGAACGTTTCCCCGCTGCTCTGCCGGCACTGCGGTCGCCGGCGATGGACCCGGCTGGGGACAACGCGCTGCTCTCCCGTGCGGATCGGTGGAGATCTATAGATAATACAAATAGTACTGAATATTATTGGGCCCAAAATAACCAATTAAGTGATTCATCCGCGGGGAAACTTGGATAGAAGAAGAAACTGCGCCCTCTGCCGTCGGTCTTGGTAACCTCACCTGGGGACCTTTGCCTTTCTTCCCTTTTTCCTGATAATCCACTTGGGAGGTTGTCATTTTACAGGGCGAGGGAGGAGAATTCCCACCGGGGATGTTAGAGCAACTTTATTTGGAAAGGCCGGAGGGTGCGGTCCCAACCGTACAGGTTTCCGGAGAGAAGGGGCTTCTGTCCCCCGCCCCCTGCCCGGGTCTCCTGACCCAGGGAAAGGTCAGGGAGCCACACTTCGTCAGCCTTGGGAGTGGAAAATTCTGAGTAAGATTCAGCATCTCACGAAACATCACAGTGCATACCTGGCAGTAGCTTTGCTCGAGAAACAAGGCCCGATTTTATGACTGAAAATACTGAGTTTTCTTCTTACAGAAATAAAATTTAAAAAACCAACCACAAAAACAGGAAGATCTGACAACAGAGCCATTTATTCAAATATACTCAAGGATTAAGCTTGTTAGAGAAAGTTTCCCAGGCGTCCTCTTTTACGGAGGAGAGGCAGGGTTTGGGGGATTTGTCTAGCTCCTGAAGAGCGTGTCTAAGCCCTGGGGAATTAGCAACCCCTGGTTTCGTGAAGTATTTTTGAACTGTGTCACTTTGAATGACTAATATGCCCCCAGGCCCTTCTCTTTGGGAAAAAAAAAAAAGGCTATGAAAAAAGCCGCTCCATGACTGTCCGAGATATTTTTGGAAGACAAGCAACTTTTAGTTTTTCATTAAGATAACGTTTGATTCTTTGCATGTGAATCATAATACAAAGAAAAAAATCATCAGGTATCCCACATGTCCTGCAGTTCCAGCTTCCATACGTAAGGGGTATGTTTCCTGTCCTTTGCTGGCTGTCGTGAAATTAGGACCCACATGAGGCATTCCGAATTCCACATATTTGTCTAGCAATTTGGTGATGCTTCCTGTGGCGGGATTTACGTGGGATAGTCTCACAATTCTGTAAGAAAAGACTTCATTTGCCCAGAAGGCTGCTCTTCCTGTTGAGGCGTCTGTTTTGTCAGCTTTCACCGGGCATGTGTGTGAAAGCGATGAGGGTTACCTTTTTTTTAGGAAGAGGCTGATAATTTATTTGCAGCGTCCTTTGGCATATTTGTAATTAGAGCAAATACCTGTCTTTGCTTCCATTATTGTTCCGGGGGGGAAAATCAGGCAACGTGCTTAAAAAATTTAAACCGTTACACATTTAGTTGGCATGTTTTGTAAGTGTTGTAAGATATCAGGAGAGAGTTTTAGTTTCAAAAAGCCCCAAGTCTCTCAGAAAGAATAAAATTGCATTCAACTCAGGCAATTATATATTCACAGAAAAGTGTGTGTGTGTGTGTGTGTGTGTATGAAGTGTATTTTAGGTCAGTAAGAGACTTGGCATACTTTAAAAAATAATTTTATCTTCAGAACCCAGAGTTTTGTTTGAAAACTCCCGTTGGGGGTAGATTTCCTCAGCTGCGCTCTTTAAGCCCGGGCTCTCTGAACTTCCCTGCGCGAGAAGCAAAAAGACTTGTCCTGTGGTAATGAAACAACAGATTTCTTCTCGGCTTAACTGCTTCTGAAATGATTTTATGAATTTTCCCATCTTCCAACATCCTGCCAAATACATGCTGTCTAATTCCTCTCATCAGTCTTGTCTCTGCGAAAACAGACATCTTTCCAATACTGAGGTGTGCCGTTTGGTTTTATTAAGAATCTCATGATAGGCAGTTGCTCATAGGAGCCAATCAAGTCTGAGCAAAAAAAAAAAAAAAAAATGCCAATCACGTTGCAGAACATGTTCAATTCCTTATATATTGAGAGACAGTGAACAAAAGGAGAGAAGCAGATGTTTCCCATGAAGATGGAAAACGCTCTCTTCCCAGCCAATAAGTAAATGCAGAGAACACCCGGTGCGTTGCCCACCTCGTCCGGTGGGCGCGTCCGGACAGTGCCGGGCGCCGCTCCTTTTCATAGGTTACGGGATTTGTCATGTTTCAGCCTCTCTTCACCTTTTCACTCTGGGATGTGACGACCGTCCCTTTGTTCCTTCCCATGGAGAAGCCAGCGTGTTTAGAAAGCCCTTGATGCCTGCGAGGAATGAATGAGTCGATAGCTGCCTGTTTCGGGTGCCCGAGAGGAGAGCCCAGTGCTTCTGGAATAAGCAGCCTGCTGCCAACACCCCCACCGCCCAGCGAGATTATGTAAGGGAGCGCGCGTGGAAAAAGGCAGCTAGGGCGCGGGCCACGCGCAGTATTTTCCCCGCAGGTGATGAACTTGGCAGTCAGCTGTCCGTGATTTGGGGCGCTGTTAGCTCCATGTAGCGTTTCGGGAAGGCTGCCTGTCTGCTGAGAGAGAGGGCCTGGGAGATGCCTCGCGCAGAGTTAATCCAGGAGGGAGGGGGTGAGCCGCAGGCTCCCCGAGAAGGCTGAGGCCCCGTGTGCGCGAAGCCAGCTGGTGGCCCGCTCAGCCCAGAGCAGCGGCATGCGTCGGCGCGAGGCTTGGCACGACTTCACAGTGTTGTGTCGGCGCTGCGGACAGACGGACGGACGGACGCCCCAGCCGGAGGTCTGGGGGGCGCCCGCAGCGTTTTCACCCAGGGGCGCCCCGGCGCTGTAGGGCGCAGGAGGGTGCGGCCTTACCTGGGTCAGGCTCCCACGGTCTGCAGAGTGAGGCGCTAGCAGGGGGCCGCCCAGAGCTCTCCTGGGGCCGCCAGCGTTTAGGTGACGCGCACACCTGACACACAGCCGAAGCCCACGTCACTGGGCAGTTAGTGCCGTCACGGGCCAGAAGGGACCCGTGTAGTGTATTAAATCCCCAGCTGTGTCACTGACTGTCCTCCTGATCCGTCTGCCTGGCTATTTGCTGTGATGACCTAGCTTTTAAGAGGCCAGGGATGATTCTAACCTGGTTGAAAGCATAGCCAGATGGGGACCGGTGCCATGAGGTAATAATAAACGTTAAAAACAGTGTTTTTACATTGTTTTATTTTCTTTGAAAACTCCTCTGTTATACTTGTTATACGTTAGTAGAAAGTCCCTGATTTCGACAGAGGCTTCTGTGTGCCGTAAGAGTTCACGGCTTCGATTTCCTATTAACTTTATATTAAGAGGATTTCTTTGACGGGTAAGCAGCACCGAAAACTAAGGGAACCCTGATGGAAGGATACGCACTAGGTGAGGCGCGCCACAGACCTAAAATATGAGAACACGGCCAAATAATTACGTTAGAGCGCAGCTCGCGGCCCTCCCCCCTGACCTATAACCTGCCGTGGTCGATATCATTTTCCGTGTCAATGGGAGCTCATTAAATGTAAATTCTGCAGACCGGCCGAGCCACGCCATATTAGTGCTTGCCAAGGCTTGACATTTTTAATACATTAATAGTACGTCTGTAATGTAATGGAAAACTATTAATCACAACTGGTTATGTGCCAGAAATGGAAGCTATAATTGGCTGCGTCTTGTCAGGGCCGTCTGTCGCACAGGCCTGCCAGTGCCTCCTGCTCAAATATCTTGCACTGCTCTGCATTTCTCCTTGTCAGTTCTCTGAGTCCGATCAATGGTCTAGTCCATAATTCTGGGTAATGACCATCATTATCATTCCCGGTCATTTAATGAGAACTCGTTACCATGGGATCACTGTTGGGTCAAGAAGTAGTAATAGGTTCCCATACATTTCCTTCCTGTCCAAATTTTCCACATACCTGTATATGGTCACCCCTTTATTTTGTGGTGGCAGGAAGGCCACATGTAGATAAAGACAGTAATCAGGAATAAATAGATTAGGGGGTGACATCCATTGGTTTTTAAAAAAAAAGTGAAGATTAAGCTCAGGGAGAATTCAAATATTTACTTGGGGTCATGTTTTGAAAAGAATAGGAAGAATTAACCCCTGCCAGGCCAGTGTTGCTCAGTGGTGGAGCACTGACCTATGAACCAGGAGGTCACAGTTTGATTCCTGGTCAGGGCACATGCCCGGGTTGTGGGCTCGATCCCCAGTCGGGGGTGTGCAGGATGCAGCCAATGGATGATTCTCTCTCATCATTGATGTTTCTATTTCTCTCTCCCTCTCTCTGAAATCAGTAAAAATGTATTTTTTTTAAAAAAAGAATTAATTCCTGGTGCTTAATCAGCCCAGAGTCATTGCCATCCGTTTCAGATCTTCCGGAGTATATTGTCCTTGATAAATAAGTTGCTGTGGATTTGAAACTAAGAACTGAAGTTGATAATTTCTGGTCGAGTGGATTTTAGAGTGCCTCAGTTGTAACAACCCCTTCCCCCTACACACACCCCATGGAAGTGTTGGTTTTGGTTATAATATAGTAGCAAACATCACTGAAGCATCATCTAGAAAATGAACTTCTATGCTATTTTAACACCTTTTTGGATTATTACTTGTCAAATTGGTGGATGTTTCTGAAAATATCAATTTATATATATTAACGAATCTAAAAAAAACAAAAAACACACAAGGAAACCAGAAGGCCATAGTAGCCACACCACATGCGCCCCTGTGATGTTTTTCTCTTTAGCTTAAGACCTCACACGGAGCTGCACACAGAGTCATCCTTACGCTCCGAGGAGGAGGCAGATTCAGATCAGTGGCTGATCCGTGTTTAGACAAACAGCTAATTATCGCTTCGCGGGAACCCAGCTATTCTACGTTTCCTAATAGGAAATACCACCATTTGCAGCTGTATGGTAGCATTTTATGAATGGCGATATAATGAAAATTGTACTTGCATCCATAAAGCAATTATTATAAATTACTTTGCTATGGAAACACAATTCAGCCATCTGCTGGCATTTCATAGTTTCTGGGGCTCCGTTCACTTGAAGACGGTGCATTATTTAAATATAGTGGATTCCTTTTGGAAGATTGTTTGAAGATGGTGAACCTCCATATTTAAGCCGCTTCGTGTGAAGCGGGGGGTCTCTGAGGCTGTTTTCTTGAACTCTGGGCTTTTTGTCCTTTCTTAGTGGTTTAAAAAAATAATGGTTGGGACTGTGACAACATGGACCAACTAATTAAGCAAATACACGTTTTGAAACGTGGAATCCAAATTTTATCGTTTGTTAAGATATGGACTCCAGTCTCCAAAGGGAAAAGTTGCCAGTTCAACCCACCAGTGACTTCCCCCCATAGCAATGGATGCTGCATTATCGGTTAACCAAGAGTATTTTCAAACAGTCATTTTTATTTTCTCTTAGAATTAGTGCCATATTATTCTGCTTCATGGCCTGTTAAGTCACCCTCAGCTATTTTTAAATGTGCATTTTAAATTGTGCATTTTACTACCGAGCTTTTAGTTTTAAAGTGTCGTATAACATTCGCCTTTGGGACAAACTCTCTGCTTCTGTTACAGAGAGTAACTGCAGGTGCGATGTCATGTCTGTAAAAAGATGCCAGAGAATAGAGAGAGTTTTGAAAGGAAAATGTGCTCCTTTGGTTTTATTTTGCATCTTTTTTTTCCCCCCAGAGCGCAGAATTATCTTTATGACTAAATGCAACCAAACAAAAGATGCTCAATTCTTCTGATCTAATGGGCAACTCCAAAGGGACGGGCTGGTGGAAACAATGGCAGCTTTCACTCCAGCTCACAAAAGCTGAGAAACGTACAAGGAATTGGGAGATTATTAGGGTCTCTTTGCCAAGAGACAAAGGCATACAAGTAGCTGCCACCCTTTGTCATTGTTGTAAAGGGACTCATTTCCTCCATTGTGCTCCTGGGAGATTTTCTAGCCCTCCCACGCAGAAGACATGCTTCAGTCCAGCTCTTTGCTCTCAGTTGGGTCAAAATGGAAATTTAATTTTTGAAGCAAAAACCTGTAACTCACCCGGAGCATACACACACACATGTGTCTTGGTTACATGCAAGAGTTCAATCCTTCCTGTTGAAACTTTCCCCAACGGGGATGATGTCTATGATCCGCTCGCTCTAGCAAAACAGCCGAGTCACGGTGACCCCCATCCCACCCATCTGCTCTATGTTGCTTCCAACCTCCCCAATGCCAACCTAGCCTACCTTTGATAATGTATTGATTCTAAGACAGTAACTCTTTTTTTTATTGTCTCTAAAGGGGTGTTGGTGCCAGAAGAAGAGAATGGTTGCCGAGAAACAGACACCAGGCTAGAGACACTCAGCCTCTTGCTTCAGGTATTGACACCTGAGCGGGCCTGGGCAGCCCTGATGAGCCGTGACCGTCGGGGATCGCCCAGGGTGATCGAATGTGCAGCCAGAGAACCATCCCTTTGCTGAATCACTGTCTGCAAGTGGACGCCTTTTACGAGAACCAAACCAGACCCCAGTCTCCTAGATATGCTCTAGGACAACAGACGCGCAGGTTAACGCCTGATGCACAAGTATGATAGCCTCCCGCCAAAGTCCTCGACGTCCCTGAGCACGCACCGTATCTCTCAACCCTTCCCCTTCCGTCTTGGATTCAACTTTGAGGTCTCATCCTCTTAATTATTTTTTTAAAATATACAGCCCTACCTACGTATGGACATCTATGTACATGTAAAATAAACGTGGACCACAGATAAGCCAAGCCTGCGTCAGTTACCGAGAAGATTGCCAAGAGTTTAGAGATGTATTTGTCAAGATTCCTGTCCATTCACGCCCTTTGGGTTACGGTGTCCTCGGTGATGCAGCCCTACCCTCTGGTGTGGGGACACTACGATGTGTGTAAGACCCAGATTTACACAGAAGAAGGCAAAGTTTGGGATTACATGGCCTGTCAGCCGGAATCCACGGACATGACAAAATACCTGAAAGTGAAGCTGGACCCTCCAGACATCACCTGCGGAGACCCGCCCGAGACGTTCTGTGCAATGGTGAGGCAGCCCTTTCGAACAGTGTTTCAGAGTAGGTGGGGCCTGTGGTAGGTGAATATACACCAGGTGGGTCAAAGACTCACCCCGTCGATGAGCTGGGCCTGTGGGTGGGGGCCATCTGGGCCGCCAGGCCAGCCTCATCTCGTGGATGGAGGCTTGTAGCATCTGGAATCCCAAGTCACAGTGTGATGGAGGCTCTGGAGCCTACCTTCCACTTTCCAAAGGTCTCACAAAGACAAGGGCACTGTCTATAGATGGTCAAAGGAGACGTGCGGCTGAAGGTGACATTTCAGATTGGAGAGGAGGACTCTGATTAGGCCGTGTGTGGTGTGGTCGGGAGCAAGCCTGTGGGTAAACCAGCTTCAGCCAGAGCGATTCAAGGCCAGTCCCAGGTTCCATCGCTCAAGGCTAGAGTAGAGGCCGTGGTGTTCCTCGTCAGGAAAGAGCTGTGATTTGGAAATCTTTGGTTAGGAGGCCGGCGAGAAGAAAGCAGAGGAGGAGGGAGGGGCTAACGCGTCGCGGGCAGCTGTTCCAGAAGAGTCTTAACTTGTCCATCCCTCAGCCCCTTGTCTTCAGGGGCTGCGGTCTTCCACGGGTGTTTCAGAGCTGAACGTTGGGATGCTGGAAACATATCTACTGAAAGGTAATGGTGTGGGGCATACAAATTCAGGTTCAGCGAGTCCTCACTTAACTTCGCTGATGGGCGCCTCGACTTTAAGCAGGACCAGTTGTACCGCAGGCTAATTGATGTAAACAGCATTCAGGTTCCTCTGGCATCTCACCAGCCCTAGAACTAGGCAGCATTGAGCGAACCCCTGCTACCCGAGAACCTGCTGTGCTAGCCTTGGATAAGCCAAGCTATGGAATTCGTTGTTTTCTCGGTGTGGCTGAGTCTCATTCTGGGCGGAAAGGCAAATGCTATGTGGAAAGATAACGCTGGAGTGACACATTGCATTTTCACGAGGGACATTGCTGAAAATATACCTAGGAGGTCTTAGGATAAGAGTTTGGCGATTGAAATGATGTAAATCAGCATGCTGAGGGATTCAGGTACCGTGTTCATTCGGTATAGGTCATTGTTTTTTGTCAGAGGTGGTCTTCATTCGATCCAGGAGTTGGGATTGCATTTTTCACGTAACTGATAGAATCGTTTGGCGGATTTTAATAGTGTTCGTACCTGACTTTATTATCTTGAACCTGGCCGGGCATTCTCAGGATAGTGAAACTATTCATCAAAGTAGCATCTGTTCGCAGTCCCCAGCGAGTGAAATTAGCATAAGGTGATCCCAGACCTAGCACTGGAGAAAGGTTTTGCAACAGGAGACGATTGTGAGCAATAAAGAGTGTTTTCACCTAAAAGCGAAGGGCTTGCCATTTTTCAGAAGTGCCTTTGGGGACTGGTTTGAATTATGGTCCAAACCTGATCCTGTGGAGAGTGAGAGAAAGAGCTTGGCGATGAGGTGTCACTGTGACTAAGGTGCCCAGGAGACTAAATATTTCAAAGAAAGGACCCGTCTCCCTGGGAGGCGGGCAGGCAAGGGCTTTGCAAAGAAGTCCCATGTTAGAAACCAGAGACCTCCAGGAGAGGAGTTTATTCAAACACATTCGCAAAACTACAATAAGTATATAAACAGGGCAGGGGCATTTGTGAGCGTTATATGAGGCCTTTGACCATCTCTCACCCAAGGTCAGATTTTAGATCTCATGGCTAATCTGGGGGGAAATGGCCATGCAGGTGGTAGGTTGTGGGATATTTCACTCCTTACACCACAGGATGAGTCCTGGGCCAGCTCTTCATATTATTAAGAACACTCTGGCTCTATGTGTCGGTTCTCATGCCCTTGTAACAATACGTCACTTCAAGATGGGTTCAATAATTTACACATCTAAGTAAAATAGCAAATCTCCTTGTTCAGAGAGCCATTTCCACTTGCATGGCCCTGTGTGATGAGTTCATGGGTGGTTTGATTGTGTGGCTTCCCCAATCTCCGCCTCCAGCCAGAGAAGCCTACCTACCACTATCCCTGACCCTGTACTTGATGTCGCCCTCACCTTTCTCCCATCACGAGTGGGAAAGAGAAGTTCATAGACCTTCTTGTCCCTGCCTTTCATGGGGACATGGTCTAAGGTCCTTAAGCCAGCTCCTACCAGCCCATTGGCTAAGGGATGTTAGCGACCAAAAGGGAAAAAGGAATTCAAATGATACCCCTCGGTGGCTTCATCTCCCAGGATACCCCACAGGACAGTCCTTTTAAAAAAAAAAAGTATGTTTTTATTGATTTTAGAGAGAGGAAGGGAGAGAGAGAGAAACATTGATGAGAGAGAGAAACATCCATCTGCTGCCTCCTGCACGCCCCCTACTGGGGATCAAGCCCACAACCCAGGCATGTGCCCTGATCGGGAATCGAACCCCTGATCTCTTGGTTCATGGGTCAACGTTCAGCCACTGAGAAACACCAGCTGGGCAGGGCAGCCTTTTGAAAAGGCTGCATTTTACTAGGATGGCGATACAGGGGCGCCTTGGTGGACTCTAAGATGGTCAATGAGCTGGACAGTTTTCCAGCGGAGAGTGGGTGGTTCGTGAGACGTTACCCATCAGGGCTTCATTTGGACTCCTTGATATGCATGCGTTTGGCATTACAGAGTTAATAATCCATGCTATAAATGCATACATACTTTGGGACTGTTTGTGTGCATATTATAAACCAAGCCAACAGTAATGGCCCAGTATAGAAGCGCGTTCTCTGGGCAGGTTTGGCCTCCCCATGGAGCTCTCCCATGTCAGGGCTCCTGACGCAGGGCGGTGAGGCTGCCTCGGGACGCTGTCATGTCAGCCTGTTGAGGCTCCTTAGCCCCAGGTCTGATGCGAATGCTGCAGTCGTCTGTGTTAGGCTCTCAGGCTCTCCCCTCCTGACACACGCACCCGCACCTGCTCGCTCAGAGTCGTTACGGCCCATTACATCAGCGGAGCTGCCACAGCAGCAGGTCGCCACGTAGCCCCGATATGCAAACGTTTCCTGCAAAATGGTCTCAGGAATCACCTGCTCAGCGAGTGACACCCTGATTAGCTGTGACTATATCGGTTCTGAGCACCTAGGGGACATTGGTCAGAGAAGGGCCCTGTAATCCCTATAGCCTTTATCTTACGTGAAGTTGAAGTTCACTGGTGAGGTATGAAGAGCTCATGTTGCTGCTTTTCACACTCGTGTCCTCGGTCTGTGCCGTCCACGAATGCCACGTTTACCTTAGAGGGGAAATTTAAGAAGAGAGGACCACGTGACTCCATTTTACAATAGATTTCTGCTTATTAACCTGCATGACCTACTTAATAACTCTTTGGTGTCCGGTGATTTTTAAATTTTTGTATATTAGTAAGGTCAGCATTTTAAACATTAGTTTTATGGGAGGATTCTGCCATTTCTACTCAGGATAGTGGAATAGGGGAATAGATACAGATACATGTAGAGACGGATATATGTATGAATTGTATATATTGAGGTCATAGATTTTTCTTTTTAATTTAATATAATGTTTCTTTTAAGTTGTTGGTGGCTAAAAAATAGCTGTTTTTGTTCCAGGGGAAGGACGCAAAGGGTAGGAGAGGGCTGAGCGTCTTGTCTCAGGCTGGGTTACCAGGTTAGCATGGGTCACAGCCTTCTTTGAGTCAAGTAAAAGCTCCAGGCGCACAGCTTGGTCAGAAAACACGGAGCATCTGGCAACTACAATTCCTTCTATTTGCATAAAGAGCAAAGAAGGGCCTGGCTGGCATGGCTCAGTGGTTGAGCATCTACCTAGGATTCAGGAGATCGGGGTTCAATTCCCAGTCAGGGCACATGCCCGGGTTGCGGGCTCGATCCGCAGTAGGCGGCGTGCAGGAGGCAGCCGATCAGTGACTCTCTCATCATTGATGTTTCTCTCTCTCTCTCCCTCTCCCTTCCTCTCTCTGAAATCAATAAAATATATTTTTTTAGAAAAAGGAGCAAAGGGAGTGACATGAACCTGTGGGCCAAGCCGAGTGACAACCCGGAGCTGTGCCCTGCTCTCTGTGTTTGGACAAACGTAGCTGCCATAGCCCCATCCATACCCCGGGGACTTGAAAATGGCCACATGATGTGCAGTGATCTGCAGCCTGTAGCTCATTCTCGGGATAAACTCAACAGAAGCTTTGAAAGACAGGAGGAGTCGGGGCGTTCGTACAATTTATGGCTCCGAAGTGCTGATGACTGTGAAAACCGGAGCCCTTGAGTGCAGCTCTGGATTTCAGAGCCAATCAAAACCAAATTAGGAAACAAAGATTATTAAAAAGTCTTCTGTGCGTGTAATTCTGGCATAATATTATGAGGTGGCCATTAAACGCGGCCCTTGGAGACTCCAGGCGGCATTAATGTAGCATGCCTTTAATTACAAGCAGGCTCGTATTACTAAAAAAATGCAGAAAAGAAAGGACTCCGAGGGGCAGTTAGCAACACCCTCATTATGCTTACTGAAATAATGAAAAGGAGGGGTGTGATTTTTCTAAATAAAATGTCAGAATTTGAAATGGAAATGGATTTTCTTTAGGAAATGTACTAATGGGTGCTCGTGCTCTTGATGGGCATTTATTCAAGTGCTGTAGCAGGTCTATTAACGATCATTTTATATTGTGCTGTTTTGAGATAGGCTCCTATTAAGAATGGGGGGAAACTTTAATTATTGTAAGCATTGTGGATAGAGCATATTTCATTGCGTGCAAATGGAGTTTATGGAAACGGGGGAGAGCCTTTGTGCTTTAAGATTCTAAAGGACCCAGTGGGATGAGGGAGTAGGGACGTGTAGTCCCAGGGCTCTCCATAGCTTACATTTCTGATTTGACATTGGCTCGGGAAAGCCATCTGGTGGCCATCAGGTGGCTTTTGAGAAGTTAATTTGATAAACTCAGTGATGTTTTCAATGACAAGGCATTAATATCAATTTTCCCCAAACGGGAAATGACATTGACTTATATAATAATCGAATGATCT